CGGAGACATAGATGATAGGAAATACTGTATACTGTATTCTATCTCATTTTCTCGCATGCTAAATCCTATGGATGTATATTTGTCTCTTTTTAATGTCGCTTTTTCTTTTCATCGAGTTTCGAGATCACAACGATTCTAAAGAAGTTTTCACTTAAGAAAAAAAAAACATTCAACAAACACTCAACAAAACATGTGTGCAGGTCACATGCGGTAAAAGTGAAACGTTTACAAGACTTGACATTCTTCGAGAGAATGAGATGAATTCAGAGAATCAGAATTAGGAAAATTATAGGATTTATTTATAAGTTTAAAAATTATTTTACATTTTATTTTTAGGCATGCACTCGTAGAACCTAAATTTTAGCGAGCAAAAGAATATTTTCTTTCGTGTTAAATTGTTTTGTAATATCGATGTCTATTTCCTTCTATATAAGCTTTGCCATCCTATAAAACCAAAATTAGGAGGAGGGCAGAGACAAATTCACAATGTCGTATACTATTTTTTTCTTATCTTCACGCACAATCCCTGACGGGGTAGCCAGAGAGAACAGATCGCCAAGTGTCACGATCCTTACATATCTCTTTCGCTTCTTTCAGATTCATTATCTTCTTCATACATGCACGTCTAGGTATCCGAGTACTCTTGACCCTACCTTCTTCGAGCAATTTGCTCACATGGTCTTCGAAAGTTAGTCTCGGTCTACCTCGACACCTTTTAATATTAACTTTCGCGCTATATATTTTCTTCACCATTCGGTCTTCACTCATTCGCTCAACGTGCCCAAACCACCGAAGCACGCCCTTATCAATTTTTGTGATAAGGTCATCTTTCAAACCTGCCATATTGCGAATCTCTTCGTTTCGCTTTCGGTCGGCCATAGTAACGCCGCACATTTTACGAAGAGATCGCATCTCCACTGCATTCAACTTACTTTTATGCTTCTTCTGGCATACCCAGGTTTCGCTGCCATATAACAAAGTCGGTACCAACACTGCGTTATGTATTGCAAGGCGTGCACTCTTCGCTACGCCTTGCCTTTTGACTAACGCAGTCAGGGCACCATTGACTTTGTTCCCGGCAGCGACACGCCTGTCCACATCTAAATCACATCTTCCATCCCGGCTAAAAGCACTCCCCAAGTATACAATTTCATTTACCTGTTCTAGACATTCCTGATTTACCCATATTTCACACTTCGTTCTCTCTTCGTCCCTTTCAAATACCAGAACCTTAGTTTTATTAGCATTCAAACGGAGACCTTTAATTTCACATTCCTCTTTCATACACGTGACTAATGCCTGCAGTTCTGCCTCTGATGGTGCAATAAGCACTGCATCATCAGCATACAGCAGACAGTTTACTTTTATGTCACCCAATTTCACACCCAAACAGCTATCTTTCAGCTTTTGTAAACAGCTGTCGAGATACAGTATGAACAGCCAGGAAGACATGACACAACCCTGTTTTACGCCCGTTTGGACGCTAAACATGGGTGACAGGTCATGCCCTACCCGCACACAGGCTTTACAGTCACAGTAAAGAGACTGCACAGCCCTTAGCAATCGGCCATCCACACCATACCCCGGCAACAGTTCCCACATTTTCTTCCTTACAACCTTATCAAATGCTTTCTCAAGATCCACAAAAGCACAGAAAATCTTCTGGTTAACAGCCAGAAGCTTTTCCGTGATCATACGGAGAGAAAACATTTGATCCGTGCATCCTCTTCCAGGTCTAAATCCGCATTGTGCCTCCCATAGAAATCTTTCCGATTTCTCTTGCATTCTACGTGTCAAAACCTTCGAGTAAACTTTACTTGCTAAACTGGTCAAGCTGATCGCCCGATAGCACCCGCAGTCAAAATGTGAACCTTTACCTTTATATAAAGGCACAATGACTGCGGATCGCCAATCATCCGGGACATCCCCCGTCCGCCAGCACAAATTGCACAGCAGATGAAAGCTGTCCCAGACGCGAGGCCCACCATACTTGACCATTTCAGCAGTAACTCTGTCTAGTCCCGCAGCCTTACCACATTTCAAACTTCGAATCGCACGTTCAATCTCTTTCATACTGATGACCTCGGTGTCATCGAGGTCCGGGTCTGGCGTGCCAGTCACGGCATCATCCCCGGATCCCTCACTAAGATCATCACACGCATACATTTCTCTATAAAATTCGCTCCATCGCTGCATGACGTCCGATTTTTCTGAGAGGACGTCATTAGTTCTCGAAAGCACTTTGTTCATTCTTAAGGCCGTCGCACCACTTCGGGTCCTTCCAACCTCTTTCCAGAAGAGTTTGGAGTTCTCCTTAAAGTTGTGCGACAACCTTTCATCCGCTTCCATTCTACACCTTTCACGCACTTCCTCAATCAATGCTTTCGTGTGAACTTTCTGCAGCTTATATCTTTCTTTCATCTTCTCTCTCATATCCTTATCATTACTAGAGGCCAAGTAGTCTAACCATGCTTTCTTCTTCTTCTTTACAGCTTCTTTCACTTCATCATTCCACCATGCGTCTCTTCTTTTACTACTGCCTCTTTTTATTGTTCCACACACTTCTTCCGCTGCACTTACCATTCCATCCCTAAGGTTCTGCCATGTTCTTTCTACACATTCGTTTCTGCCATCGATGGTGTCAAGCTTTTCGGCTACCCTCGCATGATATTTGTCCCTAGTATCCGCTTCCTGAAGCTTCCAGCTTCGGATGCGACAGACCGACTGTGGTTCTGTCACTGTCGTCCGGTAGCGCCAACCCGCGAACAGACCCCTAAATCTAGTAATCACTAGATAGTGATCCGTTCCCAGGTCAGCACCCCTGAACACTCGCGTATCCATAACCTGTTTTCGCAGTCGGTCATCCACCAGGAACAAATCGATCATACTTCTCTCATTCTTTCTTTCTCTAGTATACATATGGATTTTCTTGTGATTAAACATAGTGTTTGTCACAAGAAGACCCTTTTCCTTGCATACCGCCAGTATAAGCTTGCCAGCATCATTAACCCTTTTATCGCCAAACTTTCCAAGTACCGACTCGTACCCTGGTCGAGCGGTACCAACCCATCCATTCAAATCACCACATACAACAATCCTTTCGTTTCCCCTAGCCAAATCTAGAACTTCTCTTACATTCTCCCAAAACTCCTCCAGCTCAGCCCTGGACGACGAAGCCACCGGCGCATAAACAGCCAAAAGGAATAACTTCGCCAGTCCCAATTTAAAGCGAACCCAGAGAAGTCTTGAGTTCACAAACTTATATTCAGTCATAACATCGACCAACCGAGAAGACAGCAGCACCCCCACTCCCTGGCAGGCGTTCTCGCTCTCCGGGACTCCGGACCATAGAGCTAACGCCCCGCCAGGGAGCTCTTCAGTACCACTGCCCTTCCGTTTGGTCTCCGACATACACACGACATCTAATTCTCTTTCTTTCATTATTTCGATCAACTCATTCGTCTTATCTCTCATGCCTCCTCTAACATTCCACGTGCCAACTCTGCACTCCGTCCTCCACCTTCCGCCGTGTCGGGCTGTGCGTGACGGGTGGCGGTCCCCATCGCCGCTTTGCGCGCTGCATTCCACACCAACGGGGACGAGCTGGTGTGCGTCGCCTTGGGGGGACGCCCTAACCCTCGTTGACATGGGTGCGCAGCTGAGTAGAATTGCAGCCCTGAAAAGGGCTGGCAGGGGTCGCGACGAGCACGCTTCTACAATGACCCCCGTCGTATACTATAACTAATATATTAATAAAAAAAATAACAAACAAGCCTTGGCAATAATTCCTAATGGAACACTTCGAAAAGTCAACTTAAAAAAACTAATTACACTACCCTATACTAAAATCGACAAAAATCTTTACTATAATATCAACTGTCAAAATGGCGTCGATAAAGCTGCGCCCTTTAGACCCTTTACTGTTTGAATGACTGATGAAGATCTATCGTATCACTAAGCCATCTATGCAAACAAGGCTGTAGTTTTTGAGTTATAAGAAAGTGACTATATTAACCGGATGACCATATTACCCTCACGTACTATAGTTAAAGTCATTTTATTGAACAAAAATTAATCGAGTCTCAATGTGGTACGCAAAATTGACACTAGATGGCCTGAAGTTATGAAATCGTGGATTGTTATGAATGGATATAATAATTTTATTCACTAAGGCTAATGTTGTTTTTTTAATAAATTTATTAATTTTGTATACTTTTTTTACTTTAAAAGTTAATCTTTAAGGCAACGCACAAAAACGGGACTGAGATAGTAGGAAATACTGTAAAAAAATACTACCAATTCTATTAAAATTACTAATATTCCCTTTAACCAATATACTATTGGTAAGCTGAATATGCTTGCTTAGGATTGCTTCACGACAGTAGTAGAATGGTGGGATCGAACCCACGACCTTTTGATTCGCAGTCTGCACCCTGCCATTAGGTTACTGTCGCTTACTACACTGTATTCTATCTCATTCTTTCGCAGGCTAAATCCTATATATGTACATGCTTCTTTTTTTGGGTTGTTTTTTTGTTTCATTGATTCTAAGGAAGATTATACTTCTGAAAAAATTTCGTGAAACATGTTTATTTTAATGATAACATTATTAATTTATTAAACCAACTTTTTAATCTTTATAACTTTATTTTGGTAACCCCATTGGTCTCTCCCATTGTAGAAATAAAAGTTAATAAAGTTATATCCTATATATACGCGGACACTGGCCTCCTCTCATTTCTGAGTTATCACTAATCTCGTTATAAATCAGGTAGGCAGAGACTACGAACTTCCATGTGGCACGACCCTGACACAACTTTTTCGTTTCCTTCGTGTACATATATCTCACATACAAGATTGTAAATATAGCGTGAATTTAGTCAACTAATTACTACTAACTACACAAGCAATTCAGTAAAATAAAATAAGTTTGTAAATAAACAAAAAGGTATAAATATTTATTTTAGATTTTATGTCAATTCCTCACATTTTTGTTACATCTAATGATGTACAGCAATAACTGGTGCGTGTTTAACAACTGGGACAATTGGGACAGCATGTACTACTGGGGCATGGACTATTGGGGCAGCGTGCACTAAAGGTCTGTGGTGGACAACAGGATGGGCAACGACATGTTGGGCTACCACAGGGTGCGCTACTGGGACCACTGGGGCGATGATTCCAGCCTGGGTGAAGGCGATGAGAGCAAGGAGGATGGTCTGAAAAGTAAAAATATGATATGTTTAGTCAATACTCTGTTCACAAAAACAAAAGTAGTTATAGTTAAAACAGTGATATAAAACACTCTATAAACACTAGTAGCAAACAAATACAAGTTTCTCGACTCCACGGAGTCAGTAGTTCATTAATGGTTCAAAATTTACGCTATTACAACAAAGTCCCAGAAAATATACAAGGTCTACCTATTAAGTTATTAAGTTTGAGGCATTTCATCTTAGTCCTCACGGGTGACAACGCATCTACATTTTGATTTGTAATAGAGGATAGATGTAGATGTCTATGGGCCGCAGCAACCACTTACCATCAGGTGGACTGTATGCTCGTTTGTCACACTTATTCTATAAAAAAAAAATTACGTGTTTATTAAAATGAAAAAAAAAAATCTATTCTATTCAATTCTAACAGCACGAATATCACAAAAGAAGTCGTTACTGGCAGTCGTAGCTTGCTATGAACATAATACTTGTATATTACACCTATTACTGGCAAGGTACCGAGTTTACGTTTGGGTTACACGAAATTCCTTGCAAAAATCTGATATTGTTTTGAACTTAGGAAGAATATCTTGACTGAAGAACTCAAAAACGTTTTTGGTACTACCCTGATTTCGAACCTGGGACCTTATTATCAGAGATCTTTTCATCTAAAATAATACATGTATTTAGTTAAAATCTCAAAATGTACTTGAACAAAATTAGGACATCCCTCGACGAATCCTTAAAAGGGTTGTTATCTCGTTAAATTTACTTATGTTTACAAAGGTTGGTGGAATGAAGGTTATTTTCTGGAAAAAGTGATATAAAAAACTAAACCTAATACTACAAATCTAATAAAAGAATTTTAGGGATATAATCGCATTTAGTTTAATTTATCGCATTTTATTTAAATTCCTCGTGTTTCGGGTATTGCGGCACTAATGGTCACGGGGGAACTCCGTGAACCGGGGATCTTTGACGACTTTTGTTTGACCTTCAGCTTTTATATATATTAATTTCAGGGTCAAATCTGCGCAGAAAAAACTTACAGTACTTTAAAGTCTTGCAATGGTATGCTTGGATTTGGTTTAATTAATTATAGGATTACAAGTAGGCAGGCAGTAGCATCCAGCCATCTCCAGCTCCAGCCAGTATTGTAGGTATTGTCTCTCTATTGTACGACCGTATGTCGGACGACTCCCAGACATGGTTAGCTAAATCTTGAAGCGAGCTTCCATAGTTTTTATGGTTTATATATTATACAACAAGCCGTCGAAGAAGATAAGTCAGATTTTGCTTAACTAGGTATTTAATTTAAAAACATTTTATTTTTTATTTTGACCAGATAGGTTTCATTGTAGAAGGAAGGAGGTGATTTTAAAAGTAATCAATGTTATGAATCAAATACAAATTTCTAAGCAAAATGCACTTCTAACAACGTCCACCTTACAAACCAAATATGTACACCAAATGTACCCTAATTGTCTCCGTCTGAAACAAATGATTCTGCTGGCTATATTCATTTACCCAGCAGGACTATTTGGTTTTTCCATCTAGGGGGTTGTTTTACTTTCTGTCGAGTATAATATAATTTCGGATAGTATTCGGCTTTTGACGCAGTGAGCGTGTACGAGCCCATCATCACCGTCCTTATCTTACCTCACTTTAATGAATAGAATCAGGCATTACCTTCCGGAAGTCCGTTATATAAACGGACGTTATAATTAATTACTTAAGATCTGCATAAAAACTAGAAATGATGTGTCTTGCCTAGCTTGAACGCAATTGACGGACAAAGTTGGTGTTCAAATATGTAAGACACATCATGTTATATTTCTCGTGGTACTTATTATTAACATTATCTAATATAAACTCATCTTAACAATACAATCATATGAACAATTGTGGAAAAAAGCACGAAAATATGAAAATGATATGTAGTTTTTGTAATAAAGTTTAATTTAAATATCTTACCAGTTTGAACATTTTGCTTCGTATGTTATTATGTACTCGTAGTTCCTTGTGTAACTGTCGTTAAGACAACTGTGCCTCTATTGCTTAGATGTGGCCCTTTTATAGGTTCAAATGCGATCTAAGGTTATATACAATCTACTTGTTTTGGCGGACGTTTTGATATGTGTAACCTGAGCCCAGGGTGAGTTGGTTTGATAAATAACCTTTTGTACTAATCGTAGATTGATTATTATATTAATATCGCAAAAAGTCAGTGCGGAATCACTATATCTACTAGTTACTCTGTCGTGTTTGGATAGTATTAAATCTGTTTTAAAAACAAAATTTGATAATGCTTTCTTACATTTACACATTAAATGTATAGTACCTATAGTCACGGGGAAATATTAACTATGATATCGGCATGCCGAACACTGCAGTCCCCCTCGTGACCACCCGAAATTTCGCGAATTCAAAAGTCTAATTTAACGCGTTAAAATACATAGATTCATTTGATGAAATTAGAACCTTTTTTAACCATGTCACATTTCTCGTACTATTTTAAAATTTTGTCTTCCTGTGCCTAGGTTTACGTAGTTATACGTTCAAAAAACAGTTTGCTGATAATATTGATTGTAAATTTTTATTTGCATCTTCATGTGTGAGGACTATGTGTCTCACTATGATTTCTATTAGCAAATTATTAAAACTACATCAGTACATTTTAGATCCCTCATGAACATGGGTGCTTCGAAGCATTGGAAACTTAAGGCAATAAAGATAAATTATATAAAACTCTATACAATTCACAATACGTTACATTATGACTTGCGTTTCTTACTTTATTTGTGTTCACTAGTTACAATTGATTGTTTTTCAACAACAACAAAAATAACACAAAATCTCACGCCTGTTACCCAGAGAGGTAGGGAGAAACGGAATTCCATTAGGATCAATCCTGACACACATCTTTATACCTATGCATACATGCTCTTTAGTTAAGGGGATTCTAAATGCCCATTTTTGACATATCGCCAATTAGGTCGATAAACTTCTATCTACGCGACGTTCCACCACCACTGGAAATAATTGACCCATCGGTAACTGTAGTATGTTCTATGAAATAACAAAAAAGGTACAGCCGAGCAGGCTATTCACATGAGCACGCAGGTACGGCGCATGTGAACATGGCCAATTACCCCCCTCGACGACATTTAAGGAAAGTGGAACTTTCGTTTTAAAAAAAAATCGGAAAAATATAGATAGATATTTCTTAGCATTGCTCTTTAGCCCGGATAGACATACAGACCGACAAAATTTTTAAAAATGCTTTTTTATGTTTTAATAGCATGCAAATAAACCCGACAGCTGAATAGAAGCTAGTTATTTAAATATTACAGACATACACTTCAATTTTATGGTATTTTGTTATTCGACGTACTTTGTTGAGAGGTCCACTCGTCGACTTCTCAACGCTGTTTTAATTTATTTATGATTCGCAGTTACATCAATATAATTCACAGGGTATGGAGTAGCCCTCGGGCTACCTCAACCTACTGTTACTGATATATCTATGTGTAGAATAGAATAGAATAGAATAGAATTAGAATAGAATTTTTTATTCAATATACATTACATGTGTAATTCTTATTGAAAGTCATTTTTTACTTTACCACTAATGTGTAATATTTTATTTGGCTTATAAACGTTGAAAGTTTGACGACATAATCCCAAAGTACCAATTTTATTTATAAGTATGTATGTATTATATCAATGTTATTTTTGTTTAAAGTAACTATAAAATATTTTACATAAATAATAACATTATTTTTATTTAATCGCAAAAAATCTTATTTACAGCATTCGTTGTCTAACACAAGCGTCTAGCGTCACGCTAGAAGGCGCTAACAAGGTCCGTACACAATAATACCTGCTGAATGGGAACCTTATCACATATCGATCTATTTGAATGTACTCGAGGTCTTTGCTCGATGCAATAGGGACCAAAATAAACAACTTAATACTACCAAAATAAACAACTTAATACTATATATGTACTTGACTTTGTTTTAATGCATTAAAACTATAAGCATCGAAAATATCAAAATATTTTTATTTCTGTGTATGACACCGTTAATATGGTTATAATAATATTTATTAATTAAATTTAACTAAAATTTTAATATTGTTTTAAAACATTTTTACTGATTTTATCGCGTTTACATTATTATAGGACGCTGGGCTTCATGATCTTATTCAAGGGCCACATACTTCAGCGGGCACTTACAGACATGGACCGTTATAGATTACTGGTGTGGGTCGCCCCTCGAGGCTCTCAAAAAGTGCTTTGTTAAAACCCATTTTGAAAAAAAATTGTTTGACGTAACTTTGTAGTAAGGTGCGTAATTTTTCGCCTCCCCCAAAGAATGCCACGAATGCCAGGTTGTCACTCCATCTAGTCGGGGGCCGCCCAACACTTCGCCTACCGGTACCGAGGTTGCCAGTCGAGAAACTTGCTTTCCCATCGGTTGTGAGTTCTTGTGAATTTATTTACAAAACTAAAATGATGAACGCAATCATAGCTTACCTGATAGCGAGTGGATACTGCAGTCCGTGGACACACGCAGTCAACTTCAAACAAGTATGGCTACAGATGCGCTGTTACCACTCAGGACTAAGATGGAATGTCCCACAGCATTGAACTACACTGGCTATAACCATCAGACCGCATCACAGCAGTGCAGGCACTGCTATTTGGTCGCAGAAATAAGTTTTTTTTTATATATATATAAGAGGAGGCAAACGAGTATGTTGTACGTGGTAAAGCCATGCTGCAGCTAGAATATAGATGTGGCACGAATGGGTTGGCCGTATCGGGGAAGAACCAAGTTCTCACAGTATACCAGCGTAAAATAGCAGCTTAATGCTGCTGTGTTTCGTATGGTGAGTGTAAAGAACCAGAGACACATTTAATGGAAACGAAGGCATTCCATCTTATTCCTTAAGAGGTGACAATGCATCTGCATTTCGATTCTTAATCGAGGATGGAATATGTGCTTATTCCCCTTATTCTATAATAAAAAATGCGGCTCACTTGATAGTAAGTGACTACCGCCGTGATAAACTGCAATACTATGGAAATTGCATGTGCGTTGCCGGCCTTTCAAAAACAAGTTTATGTTTTAATAAAAAAAATCGACCCGGTTGGTCGGATAATTAGATTCAACTACATTTTATACAAGTGTGGACCTTGTGTTAAAATTAAGATGAAATTATAATATAGCTGTTCTGTTATAAGTACTTATTACAACACGATTGTTCAACAATTATGAAAGCAAATTTTCTTTAACCTTGGAAGCAAATCTTCCTTCGTTTAGAATAGACAAAGAACAGATATCGTCTGTTGGAGGCGTATATTTAATTAGCTTTTTTTTTGAGATGAAAAATTATTCTGAAAAGTGATTTAAAAAATAAATTATGTAAGTGCCTAATAAAAATCATTATCACCATTAGTTTAAATAGCAGTGAACAGAATGCTGATCTGTAACCTAGTCTTCCATAAAGTTAAAAATTGGAGTTACATCCTATATTACGCCGCTACTGCTATACACAAACCACCCACAATTCTAAAAGGGAAATTTAATTTCAAAGAGTACGGGTGACAAACATGCACACAGACCACCCGATGGTAAGTCGATGCAGTGGCCCATAGACATCTACATTTATACTCGATTGATAATCAAAAGCTATATGGGGTCTTAGGTTCTCTACCCTCATTATACGAAATACAGCAGCATTCAGTTGCTATTTTACGCTGGTGTTTTCTAAGAGCCTTCTCCGGTCAAGTCGACCCATTCACACTACAATAATAATATAGCTGAAGCATGGCTCTATCACGTATAAATACAGTATGTTGTAATAATACAATTGCTATTTATTTATAGAGTAACTTATGAGTTATCTAGCCTAGAAATTATAAGCATAGGTGACGTAATTTAGATCAGGTATTATTGCTATATTAAGGTCAAGAAAACGAGCGCCGTGATCTTGAATTCACGTCTTTTCTAATGCTTAATTAATTACCTTATTTATATAAAATAATCCCTATTATGCATAGCCTTAACAGATACTATTATATTAGTCTATTTAAATGAAAAGTGCTATACGTTGTTTTTTTTTAAATATAGAATGACGGTGACTAACGAGTACACAGTCCACCTAGTAGTAGTAAGTGGTTGTTCTCTTCGTTTGCAAATCAAAATGCAGATGCGTTGTCAGCCGTGAGGACTAGGATAGAATGACTCTTTTTCAGTAAAAAGGGTATCTGGTTCTCGACACTTACCAAACGAAACACAGCAGCATTAAGCTGCTATTTTACGCTGGTATTCTATGAGAGCGTGGTCCTTCCCCGGTCGAGCGGACCCATTCGTGCTACAACTATAATACTAATATAGCTGCAGCATGACTCTACCACGTTTCCATTAGTCTCTTTCAGAAGCAGCACCGCAAGTTCTAAGTTTTTAATTCAAATTACTTTTAAAAGTAACAATATTATTTATACAATATTAAGAATCTAATAAAAAGAAACAAAAATTAAAAACTTAAATTAACATAAGATTTTTGTTGTAATTCTAAATACTAATTAGAAGTTCATTGACCTACAATTTTCCACTGTTGCTAAGTATACGTCTCAATTAAATAAAATGGGCTTGTTATAATCGCTATGGTTGAACGTATCTTATCGATATTTTGTACACATTGTACTTAATGATGAATGGATGATGTGGCCTTACTTATTATCATCAATAGAATATATAATAATAATAATGACTTCCAGACCGATTTCAATCATGGCGGCGGGTCACTACTGTGACTAGTCATCTATGCAGTACGGGATTATAGTGCCTAATCCGAGACGAACGGATAGAGATGAGGCCCAGGACCAACGGCTTTGCGTGCTTTCGATGGCACGGGGGTGAAACACCGCCAACTTCCTGACTCCAGGCTACTCACAATTTCTTACAGAGAAACCC